CCTTACACATGAGGAGGCTCCAAGTTCTTCCATAGTGAGCCAGATCATCAGAAATTCTTAACTACCCGAGTATTTGAATAACAATAATGAATTATAGCATATAACCTATTCACTCAGAGTGCATGACTACTGTATCAATACGTCAACAATAGTTCAGGGTGACAGAAATCACAGACAACCTCTTTGACCCAAGAAGACTTATTTATGTAAAGCAATGCCTTACAAATTTTGACCATGGCCAGCATTAGTACTTTCTATATGGCTTTATAAATATCTACCTATCTATATACATACATATATACGTATATATATATATACATATTATACTCAGAACACAAAGGGGTCACAAAAGGATGTTTCCCCTTTCAACATGTGTGGCACTCTGATATTTTATTTGTTTGTTTGTTTGTTTGTTTGTTTATTTTACATCCAAGTTAGTTAGCATATAGTGCAATGATTTCAGGAGTAGATTCCAGTGATTCATCACCTATCTATAACACCCAGTGCTCATGCCAACAAGTGTCTTCCTTAATGCCCCTTAATGCCCTTCCTTAATGCCCCATTTAGCCCATCCCCCCAACCACAATCCCTCCAGCAACCCACAGTTTGTTCTCTGTATTTAAGAGTCTCTTATGGTTTGTCTCCCTCCCTGTTTTTATATTATTTTTGCTTCCCTTCCCTTATGTTTATCTGTTTTGTATCTTAAATTCCACATGACTGAAATCATATGATATTTGTCTGTCTCTAATTTCACTTAGCATAATACCCTCTAGTTCCATCCACGTAGTTGCAAAAGGCAAGATTTCATTTTTTTTGATTGCCGAATAATACTTCATTGTATATATAAACCACATCTTCCTTATCCATTCATCTGTCAATGACATTTGGGCTCTTTCCATACTTTGGCTATTGTTGATAGAGCTGCTATAAACATGGGGGTACATGTGCCCCTTCAAAACAGCACACCTGTATCCCTTGGATAAATACCTAGTAGTGCAATTGCTGGGTCGTAGGGTAGTTCTATTTTTAATTCTCTGAGGAACCTCCATACTGTTTTCCAGAGTGGCTACATCATTTTGCATTATAACCAGCAGTGCAAAAGAGATCCTCTGTTTCCGCAACCTTGCCAACATCTATTATTACCTGCATTGCTAATGTTAGCCATTCTGACAGGTGTGAGGTGGTATCTCATTGTGGTTTTGATTTTTATTTCCCTGATGATGAGTGACATTGAACATTTTTTCATGTCTGTTGGCCATCTGGATCTCTTCTTTGGAGAAGTATCTATTCATGTCTTTTGCCCATTTCTTCACTGGATGATTTGTTTTTTGGGTGTTGAGTTTGATAAGTTCTTTATAGGTTTTGGATACTAACCCCTTATCTGATATGTCATTTGCAAATATCTTCTCCCATTCCGTTGGTTGCCTTTTAGTTTTGCTGATTGTTTCCTTTGCTGTGCAGAAGCTTTTTATCTTGATGAGGTCCCATACTGACAGCATGGGGCCTACTTGGGATTTGTGCTGTCTCCCTCTTTCTCTGCTTACCCCACTTGTGCTCTCCCACTCTCTCTCTTTCCCTCTCTCACTATAAATAGACATAAGCTTTTAAAAAATCCTAAATTGTTATGTAATGCCCGAAGTTCCAAAACCTCCCACAAAAGTCCACCAGAGTCGTAAGTCAAAGCCAAGCGGCAAGGGTCGTTTATTGCGGGTTCGAACCTGGTCCCCTGCGCACTCGTCGCCGGTGACGCAAGAGGCCTCGATCAGAGTTGGTACAGCGTTTTTATAGACAGAGACAAATAGCACAGGGGGAGTTTCAAATTATGAGGGGCCTGATTGATTGATTTTAAAGTAAGGACATTTGTTGCTCTCTGATTGGGCGTCCTTTGTCTGTCCTTTGGCGGGAAGGCTTTGTCCCTTACTTGTGGCGGGAAGAAAAAAGGGGAAAGGGGGAAGAGGGTAGGGTAGGTGGGGAATGTGCTTAAGCAAGCAGGTTTACAGAAGCGAGAAATGCCGGTTAATTTATGTACAATTACTCATTCCATTACTTATCAGACTACATTTCATTACTTATCAGACTACATTTAGGAAGGTTTACAACCCATTTTACTACACAGCGGGTTACATTCAGGAAAGGCTTCACAATGCTCGTAGCAAACAGCAAGCAAAACAGACTTCTCAGCAATTGTATTTCTTATCAAAGATCCATAATAAGCAGAAAAGAGAACCTAGCTTTAAACTAAGGCAGGGCTGTCATTTGGATTGTTCCTTTCAGTTAAGTCCAAAATGTACATCTTCATGCCATACACTCTTCTGAGCTATATACTCCCATATCCACCTATATAACTTTACTTGACACTATCACAGACATCTCAAATTTAACATGTCCAAAATAAAACTCTCAATTTACTCTCATTAAAAAACAAAACTAGGGGCGTCTGGGTGGCGCAGTCGGTTAAGCGTCCGACTTCAGCCCGGGTCACGATCTCGCGGTCCGTGAGTTCGAGCCCCGCGTCGGGCTCTGGGCTGACGGCTCCGAGCCTGGAGCCTGTTTCCGATTCTGTGTCTCCCTCTCTCTCTGCCCCTCCCCCGTTCATGCTCTGTCTCTCTCTGTCCCAAAAATAAATAAACGTTGAAAAAAAATTAAAAAAAAAAAACAACTATCTCTTACCCTCAATCCTCCCTATTTCAGCAAATGGCAACATCATCCACCCAATTGCTCAAATCAGGCACCGCCTAAGGATTAACTTGATTCTCTCCCACATCAATCTATCAATGATGCCTCCATTGTAATCACAAAACGTATCCTGGGGGCGCCTGAGTGGCTCAATCCGTTGAGCTCCCGACTTCAGATCAGGTCATGATCTCAGGGCCCGTGAATTCGAGCCCATGTCGGGCTCTGTGTTGACAGCTCAGAGCCTGGAGCCTACTTCGGATTCTGTGTCTTCCTCCCTCTCTCTCTGGCCTTTCCCCACTCACAGTCTCTCTCTCTCTAACTCATTCTCCACTTCTCATCTTTTCCTCTGGAACAGCTTCTCCATAGAGCCACAAGAATGACTTTAAAATGTAAATCAGATCATTGCACTCCACTACTTGAAACACTTCAATGGTTTTCCAGTGCAACTATCCCAAAATATAAACTCCTCATATCACACACTGAGAATCTCTTCTGCATGTCCTCTTGCATGCATCAGGACTCACAATAATTTCTGCCATATCATATGGTCTGAGTTAAAGAACAGGCTTTACTGGAGTAAGAGAAAACTCCTATCAACACCAGAAATAAAAGCATGGCTCCTCTTCATCCTCCTATGATTACACGGAGCACAGTTCGGTTAGCAGCGTACTTTCGTATGCCAATGGAGGTGTCTCACCCTCCCTGCTGTTCTCACAATTCTTGTAACAACACTGTGAAAACAACTTTGTCAGTGGGAAAACAAACAGTCTTAGTGCCAGAAAATCTGGATTTGGGAAGCCAGCTATTTACAAGAGCTGTCTGAGAAAACAGCGGGCCGACACACGCAGACTCGGAGCCCACAGGACGTTACAGCTCCCGCTGGTGTTAGAGTTAACAGTTCTGTGGCAACTGAGCTTATGCGAAGCACTTTCAGGTGGGAGAAGTGAAAGAAAGCCTTTTCCCAGCTAGCTTGTGGTCCAGACAACCTAGATTGAAGTCCTAGAGTTATTTTTTGGACTTTTCTCATTGCTATATAAAACTCCTACAAGAAGAATGGTATTTCCCAGGTTGTCTAGGACAATCCTGGCACATGCCTGTCACTCCAAGTAACTATTAACAATTCCCCCATATCAGTGCTTTACTCACTGAACTGTCAGGCCCTAGGCGCAGACCTTGACACACAGCAAAACTTCGGTAAATATATATTGAAAAAAAAATAAGTTTTCTAAAGCAAGCTTATTTTTTTAGCTCAAGTTTTAGATTAATTTTTTAACTGCCACTGACTCAACATTGTTTCTAAAAGTTATTTTTATTACTGGAATAGCTGTTAACTCATTTACACAGCTGTATTCCATCCTATGAGCATTTATTTACCCATTCTCTGGCTTGCTGGTTGTGCTATTATGTACATTATTGCTAAGAACACCTTTGGACAGGTTTCTTGGGCCACAGGGGCAAGAGCTTCCCATAGGTGTACCTTAAAGATGGAATAACTACAGGGGCGCCTCGGCTCAGTCGGTTGGGTGTCCATCATCGGCTCAGGTCATGATCTCACGGTCTGTAAGTTCGAGCCCCATGTCGGGCTCTGTGCTGACCGCTCAGAGCCTGGAGCCTGCTTCCGACTCTGTGTCCCCCCTGTCTGCCTCACTCATGCTCTGTCTCACTCTGTCTCTCAAAAATAAATGTTAAAAAAAATTTTTTTAAGATGAAATAACTACATGAAATTTCAACACAAATTAATGCCAAAATGTTTTCTGAAAAGGAGGTGCCGATTTACCCTCTCCCCACCAGCACGTAAGTTTCCATTGGTATACAATATCCTCCCTCACACACTGTTCTATCAAATGTTTTAATTTGCGAGTGTGGAGGGCTTAAAATGAAATCTCATTGCAGCTTCTGGTTTGCATTTCCTTGATTATTTTTATTTATTTTTTCAAATATTGGAAGTACATTCAATGTTTAAGTTAACATATTGGGAAGGTAGGAAATCAAAACAAGGTGGAAAGAACAAGAAACTACAGGCCTGACAAGCCATATGGAGAGTCAAGTGGAAAGTAAACAATTGAGAATACAATAAGCGCATTTAATATACAATATATGTGTAAACATTTTGTTTCAGTTTTAGTTAACATACAGTGCAATAGCGGTTTCTGGAGTAGAATTCAGTGATTCATCACTTACATACAACAACCAATGTTCATCACAAGTGCCCTCTTGAATCCCCATCACCCATCCAGCCCATCCTGCACCCACCTCCCTCCAGCAACCCTGTTTGTTCTCTATCATTAAGCGTTTCTTACGGCTTGTTTCCTTTTTTTCTTTTCCCCCTTCCTACATGAGTGAGATCATATGGTATTTGTCTTTCTCTGACTTATTTCACTTAGCATAATACACTCTAGCCCCATCCACAACATTGCAAGTGGTTTTCCTTATTAATGAAGTTGACCACTTTTTCACATATGAATGGATTATTTATATTTCACAGCCTCTGTGTCTTTGCCCATTTTTCTAACCGGTTGTCTCCTTGTTGCTTTGTAGGCCTTCCTATATTCTAGATCGTATTTTTTTTGCTTTGTAACCCTTATATATTCTAAGTTATATTTCAGTTATATGATTGCAAATATCTTCTCTCCAGTTTGTGACTTGTCATTTTGCTTTCTTTCCAGTGACTTTCTATAAACAAGTTATTTTTAAGTTAAATGTATCCCTCTTCTCTGTATTTACATTTTTGTTTAAAAGAGAAAATTTCTATGCCACCAGATCATAAAGACATTGTAGTATAGTTTCTTCCAAAATTTTTAACATTTTGCCTTTCACAAATGTCTTTAAATCACCAAGAATTGATCTTTGCATAAGGTGTAGATATCTGATTTCATTTTCTTCTGCATGGATAACAAATCTCCCTGGCATAATTGAAACAATCTAGACCCACTGATCTATGCCACTTTTATCATTTTCTACATGTGCATGGTCTGTTTCTGGGTTCTCTTTGCTACACCACTGCCCTGTTTATTCCTGTATCCATAGAACAGTTTTTTATCACTATAGCTTTCATTTTAAAAAGGCTTGCCAACTGGCAGAGCAAGTCCCCCATCTCACTCTTCTTCAGAAGTATGTTGTGTGATCTTGGACCTTTGAGTATCAACGCATCTTTAGAGTCAACTTGTCCAGTTGCCCCCAAGAAACTGGGAATTTTTGTTTTGATCTGTAACATCCATGTGGGGGAGGGTTGAGATCTTTACATGATTGATGCTTACAATAAACATGATTTACCAATGTGTTTAGTCTTCTTTTAATGTATTTCAATCAAGTTTCATAATGTGCTCCACAGAGACCACACTCTTGGAAGACTCATTTTCTGATGCTCTTGTACATGGCATCTTCACTGCTGTTTGCAGTTGACTTTTGTAAACTGATCTTATTTCCAGCAACTTTTAATTACTCATCTACAGATTCTTTTCTTTCATGGTTTCTGTGTAATCACAGCATTTGTGACTTTCTTCCTTTCCATCTTAATACATTTTCTTTCCTTCCCAACTATGCTTGCTAAAGCCTCAGTACAAACAACCTGTCAAAGAGAAGTAGTGATAAGACATCCTTGCCTTTTTCATTTTACGAAAAATGCTCTTCTAATTTCAAGTCTGTTTGAGGCACACCTTTGACACATATCCTTTGTTTTTATCTCCAAACCACGATGTCAATATTAGCATGTCATCAGGGAACTCCCTTTTTTCAGTGTGTCGCCTACTTATTGCTCGTTTCCATTTAGTTTAGAACCTGTCACTTGAAGAAGTCCCTTTCTTCCTGCAAGCCCAATGCTACAGATTGAACTGTGTCCACTCAACATTCACATATAGAAGTCTAATCCCCAATGTGACTACATTTTGAGATAGGGCCAGTAAGAAGATAAAGTGAACCCAGGCCATAAGGGTGGGGCCCTGACACAACTGCATTAGTGTCCTTATAGACACCAGAGAGTTCACGCTCTGCCAGCACAAATAGGAGGCCATGTGAGGACACGGTGAGATGGTAGCCACTTATAAGCCAGCAACATGGGCCTCCCAGGAAACCAACCATTCTGCACCCCGTTCTGAGACTTCTAGCCTCCAGAATCGCAAAACGTCTGTTGTTTAAATCACCCACTCTGTGGTATTTTGTTATGGCAGCCCGAACTTAGATTCCCTAGAATGCAATAAAAACTATGTCATACTTAGGATCTGGTTATTTTGCAGTGGGACACCTCCTCACTCCAGATTAGCTAGTCTGCTATACTGCCAGGAGAAGCAGAAGGTCAGTACTTCTGTTCTTATTTACGTGCTACCTTAGTAAACAAGGGGCTGTTAACTAAGGGTCCTCATTTCAGGCTTCAGGCAAAATTAAACTATTTGATGAAAAAAAAGTTTGTATTTACCGTTTTTAAGGTATTTGCTAAGGATCCCTGTACATTTTATGTCCCAGTCCCTCCCCAAATTAAGAATGAGACCGAGGTTAAAAGTCTGAGAGACTGTGGCAGTGGAGGTGATATTTTACTTCTACCAGTAGTGAATGGTCTTAGAAGAGAAAGAACTGAAGTAATGAATTGTGTATACGGAGATAAAGAATGTGTGAATTGGTAAGAATTAGGTTTAAATGCAAAGCACAAATAAGTGGCGTAAACAAGGTAGAGATTTATTTGTGTCTCCCAAAGAAGTCCAGAGGTAGACTGTCGAGGACCGCGATGGTGGTTCCATGGTCATCACGGACTCCAGCCTCTTCCATCTTCCATCCTGCAGATAGTCTTGTGGTCTAAAATGGCTACTGGAGACTCTCAGCCATCATGTCCACATTTCAGACCAGAAAAAGCCAGGTGAGGGTCTGGAGAAGCACAAAGGATGAGCCTCCCAACAGAGCTAATCATTTAAGGGGCTTTCCTGGAAGCACCACCAAATGGCGTCTGCTTCTACCCCCTTAGCAACAGTTAACTGCAAAGGAGAACAGGAATGCAGTATTTCAGCCGTGCACACTGTCACCCCCAATAAAACATGGGCTCTGTAAATTAATGGGTTCTGTAGAAAGGATAATAATGGATATTGGGCAGTGTATTCATCATGTTTCTTATTTTCTGTATTTTATGATGCTTTGACATCCTGGAGGCTGGCAGACCTTGGGAGGAACTAACTCCTTCCCAACATTAGCTAATTCCTGGAAATAGTAAACACTTGCCCAAGAGCATGTCTTTCATATGCAAACCAACCAATCCTGATTCCATACCTGCCATCAGCCTCCTTTTATCAGGCTCCTGCAGTCCAGAACACTGTTTCTCTGCTCAAAGGTACCAGACAACTAGAGAGGGGGGGGGGGGGGGGGGGGGGGGGGGGGGGGGGGGGGGGG